GGTTCACAACTAATTTTTCAAAGACATCTTTAAAGATGTTTTATAGCAGTCAACTATATATTATGGAGTTTGAATCAAGTTGTTGGTAAGGAAGGCCCAATAATATGTTAATCCACAGAAGACTTAGATAGGGTGTGTAACATTCACTATCATCAAATCCAATTGCAATTACGAGATGCCATGACAAGTTTCATATTTCTGATTCTTGACTCTCAGTAATAGTTTAACAAAATAATTTTGCATCAAATTTCTACTAAACAACTCTGCTATTAAGAAAACTCTGTTTTCATAATGCAAAGACATTATTCCTTAAAAAAAATTATAATGATCTAGGGCCTGGCACGATGGCTCACTCCTGTAATCCTAGTACTTTGGAAGGCCAAAGCCAGAGGATTGTTTGAGGCCAGGAGTGTGAGACCAGCCCAGGCAATACAGTGAGACTCTGCCTCAACAAAAAATAAAGAATAAAAAAATTAGCCAAGCTTGGTGGTGAACACTTGTAGTACTAGCTACTTAAGAGGCTGAGGTGGGGGAAGGTTGAGTGAAGCTTCCTCATCACATCCCTGCACTCCAGCCTGAGCAATAGAGTGAGATCCTGATTTTTAAAAAAAATAAAAATTAAAAAAAAAAGAAATACAGCTGCTCTGCCTATGGAGTAGCCATTCTTTATTCCTTTACTTTCTTAATAAATTTGCTTTCACTTTAAAAAATAAGTAAAATTGTCTAAGGATAAGACAAACTTCGTTTTTAAAATCTGGGGGGAAAAATAAGAAAAATCTGCATCAGTGTTTAAAAGAAAAAATATTCTTAGATACCAAATTATAAATATACAAGATTAAAAGTTAAAGTCAATAAAGATTCTTGACAAAATTTCAGACAGGATTCAGTGTCTTTCTGAGATTAATCATCCACACATAAGAAAAGTTATGTTTTAGTCCCCACAAACTCCAGAGACCTTTCCAGTTTATATTAGGTCTTCCTAAATCAGCACATAAATAAAATAAATGGACCAATTTATGACATTATAAGACAAATTCTACTATTTCAATGTTCCAGGAATTTCCAGAACTATAATTAACTGTTACTTAAAAAGGATTTTTCAGAATTATCTGATTTTGTATGTTTTTCTCAAAAATATAAAAAAGCTCTCCCTTATTATTAAGCTCATTAATTGCTGCTTGAGCATTCCTTTCTTTCCTGTTTTGTTTCTCTCAATTTATAAACATCCTTTACAATGCTTTACCGTTATTGAACTTACTGTCCTTGCTTTGTGTGTTATAAATGTATACATTGTGTTCTATCTACCAACCTACCTACCTACCTACCTACCTAAATACTGTTACTTTTTCACATAGGTTATCTTCGCATGTGAAGAAGCACTTAGGTTACTTAGCACAAGCTAAAATACTTGTCACTCATCACACAATCACAATGAACTAATACATAAGTCCTAATTTAAATGTTTGTAAATCCTTTTTCCTCTCTCTCCAAAAATTTTTTAAAGCCACCTGGAAAAAAAGAGCTAATAAAACCATTCACTAAAATAAACTTAATTAAGGCCTAGAAATTGTCTGTGAATATAATTAAATATAATTCTAAATAGATGAAATGTTGAGGTGGGAAACAAAGAAAGAAAGACAGAGAAAAGAAGGAATCAATCTTTTACTAATGAGATTTCTGGGCTGATCAGTGAAAAACAGTATACAGAAAAATCTTTCAGTTCTGTCACTATTTTCTACAAATGTTTAAACAACAGCATATCACTTGATCTCAAACTCTCTTGCTCATCATTAATAATTATGGATTACTAAAGAAATGAGGATAGTGTGTCATTAAGAGGCACATGACAGTCAGTCCATTTGAATTAGAAGCCTAACTGCCATTTATTAGCACTATGACCATAAGCCTAAGCACCTTTCATCTATAATAATAGGATAATAAAAGCACCTATTTTATCAGGTTATTAAATGAGATAATACATGCCAAATGAAAGCCAACAGCATTAGACTGGCCTGTGAGAAATATAAAAACAACCTCAGATTGTTTCTCTGCAAACTGCTTATTATTAGCAATAAGTGCACTCATAGTTTAAGCCAGAAATGAAATGACAATTCTTGAGCCAAATCCAGCTGGATGCTCATTTTTGTAAACAGTTTTACTGAAATACAGCCTGTCTGTTAGTTTACTATTACGGATAGCTGCAAAGTTCAGTTGCTGCAAAAGAGACCAAATGACCCAGAAAGCCTAAATGATTTGCTATCTAGCCCAAGCTTGTCCAACCTGCAGCCCATGGGCCACATGCAGCCCAGGACAGCCTTGAATGTGGCCCAACACAAATTTGTAAACTTTCTTAAAACATGAGATTTCTATGATTTTTTTTTTTTTTTTAGCTCATCAGGTATCATTAGAGTATTTCAGATGTGGCCGCAACAATTCTTCTTCTTCCAATGTGGCCCAGGGAAGCCAAAAGATTGGCTACCACTGATCTAGCCCTTTACAAAAGTTTGCTAACCCTTAGTTTAATTTAAGCTACCATTAGTTAGCTTTTGTTACTTACAGCCAAAGCATCCTAACCAGTACAATGTTTCCACAGCTCTTTTTACTTTTCCTACTGGAAAAATTCATCTGACTTTACTGTAATCACTTGAATGTCTTCCCTTTCACATGATTATATTCCCACCTGTGTGAAAGCTCCAAATAGTCCTGGCATTAACATTTGTATCTCTATTACCTAACACAGTACCTGACAAGTAGAGGGCATTTAAATATTGTTGACTGAACAAGTAAACAGATGAATGAATGTGCATATTGATAAATAATCAACAAATATTTATTAAAAATTAGCATGTACATTAGGTGCTCTGAGAGATACAAAAGATTGTAAGTCTAGAATGGCTTGAAAACCAGGGTTAGGAAATATAAGAATCTGTGTGCACCTTAGCACTAAGCAGGGGAAGGTGCACCCTAACACAACACTGCCCTCTACTACGGCCCACTAAAACCATAATGCAGACTACCCACAGCTTTTTGATATCAGTCTCCAGTACCCTTTGACTGACACCTCTTATTTTGACTTTGTTCATTGCTTTTGTTGAGATTAATGTTAAGAAATAATGACAAATACAACATTATTATCTTGTAAACTTGTCATCCAGAAATTGGTCCACTTGAACACAATCAACTAGAAGTGATGGACGAGTCTAACCTGTAAAACTGGCTGAGACATTCAAGACTAATGTTACCAAATGAGAACTTTTGACACAATCTAACCTCTCTGTTTTGTTCACTCTCTAATATTTCTTACCTTTAAAATCCCCCAAATAATGTTTTACATAATAAAAATTTTATGCAATTACACAAATATTATTCTAAAAAAGTAAAATTTGGTGAGGTGGAAGGCAAAAATTTAATGACCAGTAAAGATCATAGCCTACTTCCATAGCCATGTAATTTGTTTTAAAAAAAAGAAGAAAACATTTTAAAAGGAACAAGAAGCTAGGCAGCCCCCTGATTGACTAGTTTTATTCATTAAACATATTTTCTGTACTCAGAACCCTACTGTATTTAAATCCTCCCTTCAAATTTATCATCCTTCTGACTTTCTTTCTTTACCAAGAGATTTCCCCCACATCCTTTCTGCCTTCATTCAATTTTACCAGTGCTGGCTAACTCAGCCTCCCCACCCTTATAGACAGGTATCTAACTTCTAAATCCTCTATTGTAACATTTCACAATCCTTAAAACTAGAAAAGGACAGAACTCAGAATTTTACAGTAACATAACTGATCAATAAATATTAATGGTTGTGGGATGATCAGCAGAACAAAAGTCACATAATAATAATGTTATCCTCTTTCAAACTCCACCACAAAGTTAACATTTAAATAATAGGTAAAAGCCAACAATCTAGGCAGGTTTACATAACATCACTTTAAGTTTGAAAATAGAAAATAAACATACAGACAGCTGTGAAAAAGAAAGGAATGAGAAATGAATTCTGTATCTTTTAGAAAATAAAGATACAGACAGCTGTGAAAAAGAAAGGAATGAGAAACGAATTCTGTATCTTTTAATAAACTTAAGTCTTTACAGAATTAAGATCTCAAGATACTACATCCACAATCCTAGTAAACTCTTCAACATGGAAAACTGATACATTAAAGATAAACACATTTATATTAAAGTATTAAAATAAATACATTCACACAAAACATTGAAAGACTGACTAAAGAGGATAAATTCCAAGATGTTCTCCTTCCCAGAATAAAAGACCCCAATTACAATTGTGAATAAAACAAGACGCTGTCAATTTACTCTGTTAAAAGATTGTTTCATTTTAACATCTTCCAATTTGACAAACACTTATGAGTGGATTTCAAGTTCTGACTCTAAGTGGACAGAAGTAGAATCTCATTGTTTTAACAATATCAATTTTAGGAAAAATAAAATCTGAACCTCATAAGCAGATACATACACTCTTACATACACATACACCCTAATATTGCCCAAGCTCCCAGTCTATATTAAAAAGGCTTAAACAACAGTAAATCACATGGTCTCCTCCTTCTGTTTCAACTTTACACTTTTCCCCTAACAGCTTTATAGTAAGGTAATAGACATTTTTAATCACTAAGTAGTCTTCAAATTTTAAGTTCATATTCAAAACAGAGGAGACAAAATATAAAACTTCCCTACAAAATTATGCAAATTTTCCTCTACTTACATACTAAACTTCGATAATGCTGTTTATATTGATTCCAAGATTTGTTAAATTATCATTAACTAAAAATAAAATAAAAATGAAAATGTACCATAGTAAAAATCTGAGATAAATATGTTTATTTATCCTTTCTTCTTTCTCTACTGTATTCTCTTCTTATTCCATTTTCTTCTACTCTTATAGCAATTGAGCTACAAGAAAAACTCAAAGAACAAAAATTTAGTTTGAACATCACCATGGACTCACCAGTCCTCTCCACATAAGATTTGCTTCAACTTACCCACGTTTGATGTTATGTAATTCCTTGTCCTTCCCTTTATCCTTCTCCTTTTCTCTCTTCTCTTTATCTCTGCCTTTACGTCGTTCTCTATCCCGAGACCGACTACGCGTTCTTCTGTGACTGGACCTTTCACTGCTACGACTATGAGAACGTGGACGAGGTCTTGACCTGGACCTACAGTAAACAGATTTTGTTAAATAAATTTAGTGTATAATTTGTATTGTGAAATGTAAATACTCTTTTAAATTACCTGAAAAATATTATTTAGTTATAAACTCAGAAATTAAATAACCATGTGAAGCAAGCACCTGAATATGATTCTTTATGAGTAAATGCTCTCATTTAAAATAATATGAGGGAAATATATATTGCTAACTTTACATGAAACTATGATGCAGTTAAAAGTGTTAGCCTTAAAAGTTCAAATCAAGTCTTAATTATTCACATCCTCAAATAATGTATCTAATCTAAGTTACAAGGTTAGGATGTTCCTTACCTTTACAATCTTTGCTTCCATATCTATTTCTTATTTTGAATTATTCCAATACAAATACTGATCTACTCTAATCCAGTTATTCTTTGTATTAAATGCATTACAGTCAGGTTCTGGTTACATTATTGCCAAAAACCTCTATCAGACCGATAATCCTACAGATAATTTTTTAAAACAACTAAAGTTGACCCCTGAACAACATGGGTCAACAACGGCATGGATCCACTTATAAGTGGATTTTCTTCCATCTGTCACCACTGAGACAGCAAGGCAAACCGTTCCTCCTCTGCCTCTTTCTCCTGAGCCTACTCAACATGAAGATGATGAGGATGACAACCTTTATGACGATCCACTTCCACTTAGTGAATATTAAACATATTTTATCTTCTTGCCAGGCGTGGTGGCTCACGCCTGTAATCCCAGCACTCTGGGAGGCCGAGATGGGCATATCACTTGAGGTCAGGAGTTCAAGACCAGCCTGGCCAACATGGTGAAACCCTGCCTCTCCTAAAAATACAAAAATCAGCTGGGTGCAGTGGCACATGCCCGCAATCTCAGCTACTTGGGAAGCTGAAGCAGGAGAATCACTTGCTCCTGGGAAGCGGAGGTTGCAGGGAGCTGAGTTTGTACCACTGTACTCCAGCCTGGGCGACAGAGAAAGGTTCTGTCTCAAAAGAAACAAAAAACAAACACAAAAACAAAATTGTTGCAATTTTAATCCTAACCAAGTGATTTCCTTGCTAAACAAATAAATAAACAAACAAAACTATGTTTTTCAGAGGAAAACAACAGAGTATTCATAATACAACATTTACCTTGTCTAGGATAAAACTCCAAAATTCCTAGATATATGAAGAAACACAAAAAATGTGTTCTATTCTTAAGAGAAAAGACAGTATACGGAGAGCAACCCTGAGATTAAACCAGATGTTACAATTAGCAGATAAGGATTTTAAAGCAGTAAGTGTAACGAGGCTTACAATGAATATAAACATATTTTTGTTTATATTCATAAAAGTTAAGCAATCTCAACAGAAATACCAGAAAAAATTCTGTAACTGAAAAACACAATCTCTGAAATTAAAATTATGCTGGATGAGATTAAAAGCAGACTTTAATAACAGAGGGGAAAAAAAATCTGTATACATGCAAATAAATCAATCAAAATTATCCAATATGAAGAACTAAGAGGAAAAAAGATTGCTAATAAGAAAAGAAAGACCTTTACGGATCTGTATGACAAGATTCAAATGCCTAACATGTTTATTTAAACCCAGAAATAGAGAAAACAGAGGATGAGGTGGAAAACATTTTTTCAGTGGTGAGTAAAGTTTTCCACATTTAGTAAAAGACACATTTACAGATTCTATAAAAGTTGAACAAACTCCAAGTAAGATAAATATTAAGAAGACCATGATTAGAAACACTATAGTAAAATTGATTAAAACTACAGGTGAAGAGAAATCTTGAAAGTATTCAGAGGAAAAACAACACATTACATACAGGGAAACAATGATACGAATTATTGTCACTGACTTCTTATCAAAAACAATGGAAATCACAAGACAGTGGAATGAAATTCTTAACATGGTGAAAGAACAATAAAGGTCAACCTAGAATTTTATATCCAGCCAAAATATCCCTCAAAAATAAAAATAAAAACATTTTTGAGACAAAGAAAAAGTAAACAAATATCAACAAAAGACTTGCTTTACAATAAATACTAAAGAAAGTTCTTCAGGCAGAGAAGAAATGTTAACAGATGAAGAAAACATGAATCTTTAGAAAGGAATAAAGACTACTAGAAAGTAAATATATGGGTAAGTATCAAAAACTGTTTATTTCCCTTAATTTATTTAAATACATATAAGTGCTTAAAGTAAAAATAATAGCATTTTACTATAGGGTTTACAATAAAGGTATACATAATGCAAATAACCTCTACAGAATAAAACATGGGGCAAGTAAATGAACCTATACAGTTAAAAGGTTTCTATATTCTACATTAAATGGTGAAATAATAACTCTAAGTACACTGAAATGTTAAGAGCATACATTGTAATCCTTAGAGCAATTACTAAAAAAAAGAAGAAAATAAGTATAGCTAAAAAGAAAATAGATTAATTTTAAAAGAATTATTAAAAATACTCATTAATCCAAAAGGAAGTTGGAAAGGAAGTAAAAAGAAAAAAGAGGGGATAGACATAAAATAATAAAATGATAGATTTAAATCTAATTATACCAATAAGTACATTAGATATTAATAAAATATAGTAAAAAGGTAGAGTTTGTCAAATGAATTAAAAGCAACCCTATATGCCATCTAAAACAACAACTGTATGCTATCTACAAAATATGTAGTTTAAATAAGCAGACACAGATAGGTTAAAAATAAATGGCTAAAAATGTATATACATCATGCAAACAACAAGCACAGAAAAGCTAAAGTTAATATATTAATATCACATAAAATGGACTTCAGAAACTAAGAGTATCACCCAAAATAAAAAAATGGATACTTCATGATGATCAAAAGGTCAATTCCTAGGTAGAAATCATGCAGAACATGCTTATCTGAACAAAACAGAATTAAATTAGAATTTAACAATAAGACATATAGAAAAACTCAGATATATGGAAACTAAATAATATACTTTTAGTAATCCATCAGTTAACTAAGAAATCACAAAGGAAATTTAAAAATATTTTGAACTGAATGAAAATAAAAAATATAACATATGAGAATTTGTGGGATGCAGCTAAAGCAATGTTTAGGGAAATAATTATAGTTTTAAAGATTTATATTAGAAAAGAAGAAATATCTAAAATCAGTTACCTAAGGTTTCACTTTAAGAAGCTACAAAAAGAAGTGCAAAGTACTACAAACCCGAAGTAGATGGAAAGAAGGAAACATTAAAGAGAAAAATCAATGGAAGAGAAAACAATAGAGAAAATAACAATGCCAAAATCTGGTACCCTGAGAATATCAATAAGATTAATGTCTCAGCTATACTGATCAAATGAAAGAAAAAGCACAAATACAAATAACCAATATCAATTACCAAAAATGTGGATGATGGAAAGATCACATGAATTTATCCTAGATACTTAGGATGTGTATTAGTCCATTTTCATGCTGCTGATAAAGACATACTTGAGACTGGGAAATTTACACAAGAAAAGTTTATGGGACTTATAGTTCCACATGGCTGGGTGGGGGGCCTCACAATCATGGTGGAAGGCAAGGGGTAGCAAGTCACATCTTACATGGATGGCAGTAGGCAAAAAAAGTGCTTGTGCAGAGCCACTCTGGTTTTTAAAACCATCAGATCTCATGAAACCCATTCACTACCATGACAGCAGTATAGAAAAGACCTGTCCCCTGATTCAATCATCTCCCATGGGGTCCCTCCCACAACACGTGCAAATTAAAGATGGGATTTGGGTGGGGACACAGAGCCAACCATATCAGGATATACGTAAGTCTTGAGGAGAATTATATGGCTTTCAGCAGCAATAATATTTGTCCTTGTCTTTCCAATGAGCTCACTTAATGAATAAAGAAAAATACTGGATCATGAACCCACAAACTTTTAAATGTGATTTTGAGAAATTTCTTCCTTTTCTTGCTTCCTCCTTTCTTCTCCTTTTTCTTTTCTTCTTTCCTCTCCTTCCTACATTCCTTTGTTCCTTTATTTATTAGAGACAGGGTCTAACTCCGTCACCCAAGCTGGAGTACATTTGGGTGATCACATCTCACTGCAATCTCAAATTCCTTGACTCAAGCAATCCTCCCACATCAGCCTCCAAAGTAGCTCAGACTACAGATGTGTGCCATCATGCTCAACGTGTGTGCGTGTTTGTGTGTGTGTAAGTGGGGTCTCATTATTTTACACTTGTGTGTGTTTCTGTGTGTGTGTGTGTCTGTGTGTGTAAGTGGGGTCTCACTATTTTACACTATTTTACACTATTTTACACAGCCTGGTCTTAAACTCCTAGCTTCAAGTGATCCTCCTGTGTCAGTCTCCCAAAATTCTAGGATTATAGGCATGAGTTACTACATAAACCTGAAGTTACAATATTTATTGCTACTAATATTAGCATAGGTTTAATTATTTTACTGTCCTAATTTACAAATATGAAACTCTGCCATTTGATCTATAAGTTTCTTTGATTATTCCTTAATTTTGACACGAGTATCTTTCTAAAACAAAATTTTATCATCACAACTTCCTGTCTGTTGCCTGATTCCTTTCTGATTAAATTTTCTATTATGTATAAATACGCGGAAATTTTAACAGATTACTAAAATCTCTGAGCAATAATCAGTCAAATTTTAAAGTTTTCTGATTTAAAAAAAGCGGTAACAATATAAATGGAAGAGAGCCTTTTTTGTGATAATCTCAGCCACTACACATACATTATATGCATATAGACATACAGCATATTTTCGTTATTTGGGTCTACATTTTGTTTAGGACCAAAATATGATTCTGCCAGTTAGCTGTGAATATAGAGTAACAAAAGACAGGTGAGTTAGTTTAAATGTTAATACAATTCTAAGAGCTTCTTTTTAAACTAAATCTCTAATAAAAGCTCATTTCTTACTCATTTGCGTCTTTTTATTAAAAAAAAAATACTGTTGGACAAAATACACTACCATTTGTGGTTCCAGATAAGG